TTTTATTGTCGAATATACACGAATGAAGCATTTTCTGTGCGAGTACAGGACCCGGTTTACCGCAAAGTCAGAATTACCAAAAAATATTAAGCAGTCAGAAAACTCTGCCTTCCTTTTTTTCCGGATATTTCCGTAACTACTGCAAATATGGATTTGAAAATTTTATGAATAGATAGAGGAACATGCTCCCTTTCAGACTACACAACAATTGCCAGACTTAGACAAGTGCTCGAATATACAGAGCATTCTCTGTGCAGGAGTGGAGAGGGAGTCCAAATTACGCAAAAATAAGAGGCAATTGGAACAAAACTCGCACTTTCTTTTGAAGATATTTAGCTAATTCCTGCAAATATAGATATGAAACGTATATGAATGATAGAAGAACGTGTGCCCTTTCAGATGACATCACGATTAGAAGAATTAGACAATTTTTAGTCAATTTATGCTCGAATATGTGGAGCCTTCTTTTCGCGGGAATAGGACCGGTACAGCGCAAACAAAATCGAAATTAAGCAAAAATAAGAAGCAGTTGGAGAAGAACTCGAACATCATTGTGCAGATATTTCCCTAACTGTAGCAAATATGGATATGAAACTTACATGAATGGATAAAGGAACATGTGCCCTTTTAGATGACACCACGGTTGCCAGATTTAGATATTTTTTAGACCTTTGATGCTCGAATATATGGAGAATTGCACTTCAAAGTCAGAATTACTTCAGGAAGCAGTTGGACAAAATCTCCCGAATTCTTTTGCAGATAATTCCCTAACTACGACAAATATGGATATGAAACTTACATCAGTGGATAGAGGGAAATTTTCCCTTTCAGATGAAACCAAGATTGCCAGATTTGGGCAATGTCAGGTCTTTCAAGTTGCACTATATGGAACCATCTTTGCTCGGGAACGAGCTTGAGTTATGTCTGTATTCTTTGGGGGAAACATCCTAATGCACCGAATGCGGTGGGGTCAAAATAACATGTACGAATTTCGAAAGTTAAGGGTAGGGATACGAAAAGACTTTATATTTGTCTTAAGTAAATAACCCAATTTCTAAATACCTGTACGATTTCAGTCTTGAACTATTCAGGAATCGATTTCTTGAAATATTTAGATTTTTGGAGCTTTAGTTTTGTTGGAATTCAGACGGAAATACATCGGAATGGAACGAATGCAGTAGGGTCAAATATGTACGAATTTCCAAAGTTAAGGGCAGGGCTACGAAAAGACTCAGTACCAGTGTAACTAAACAACCAAATTTCAAAATATCTGCACGATTTGAGTCTTACTATTGAGTAACTGGTTTCTCTTAAAATGTTTGATACTTCGACCTCTACTTATGTTGGAATTCAGACGGGAATAAATATGGGTGTGCAGCAATTGAGATAGGTGAACGAATTCAGAATTATAGAGTCATATAGCAAAATGACAAACAATCGAAATAACTAAATCACCAAATTCCTAAATAACTGCACAATTTGAAACTTGGACTACTTACAATTTCAGACCTTGAAATAGATGTTAGGAGCTTTAAATGATTTTAGGAGCTTTAATGAAAATTCCTTCAACAGAAAATGGAACTTACTCTCTGTCAAAAAGTGCTAGAATTGCCAGATTTGGAGGATTTTCAGACTTTTAAGCTCAAATAACTGGAGACATCTTTGCCTGGAAAGGGGAGCGTTAAAATGCAGACAAAGAGAGAATTGAAAAAAATTACAAGCAGTGGGACAAGAAGGTTTGCCTTTTTTCGCCAACATTTTCCTAGCATGGACAAGAAACGTGATTTTTACACGGCAGTTGGATCGCCAGATTTAGACAATCTGTAGACTTTTATGGTCGAACATACATGTATGGAGCTGTATTTGCGCGGGATGGGGATCGATAATGTGAGGAAGAATGCAAAAAATTCACAAAAACAGCAAGAAGTCTGAGAAGAACTCGTCTTCTTACTCCCATATTTCCCTTAACTCACCAAGGATAGATATGAAACGTATTAATTATTAGAACATGCGCCATTTCGGATAGTGGTAGGATTGCTAGATTTGGACAATCTTCACATCTGCTATGTTCGAATACATAGAACCATCTTTTTGCGGGAGGAGGACTGCTATTGTGTGGAGAAAGGGGAAAAGTCAC